ATTTTTCCAGTACTGGCTTATTTTTATTTGAATAAAAATAAGATCTGTCTTAAATTAGTCAGTTATAACTTGATGATTTTTAAGGTAGCTATAAAGCATCCTTTTTTCTCTACGGTAGTTGCTAGTATACTTTGTTAAACATGGTGGACTTCATAAATGTTCGTAACAGGAAGAACTATAGTAAGAGAAGCATCAGCCCAAGCAAATCTAAGCTCTTGTTGCGTTTTGAAAGTGAAAGTGTAGACTTTTCAACAGTAGTATTTGTCCCAGACATTTTGATAAATTCGTCTTTGAGATCTTTCCATGCCTTTTCTTAAGCTTGAACTATAGTAGGAATCATTGATTTATTCAAAAGAACCTTATACTTTTTTAGCAATTTAGTCTGTAACCGCCAATTTTTACTGGCAATTAATTTTTTCTCACTCGAAAACAAATGCTTACTTGTGGTTGCATACAATCCTGTCACGACTTATTTAGTATCAATTTTTGTTTAGAGGGTTGTGTTCGCGTTCCCATGTCTTTCATTCATCATACGCAACGAAAAAAGTAAATACTTGTAAATATAAGTAAGTACTTACAAGTAATTACTCAAAATTCAAAAGATTTTTCCGATATTTACTTTCGAGAGAGTTCTAGTTTTTATTCAAATAAAAATAAGTACCTAGCTTCTACTTAGAAGTTTTAGCTTTTTCTTATAAGTCATGACTTGCAAGGTAATACTTTTCTTTATTCAATAGACCCAAGTAAGGAATTTATAATATTCCACAAAGGCATCTATGGAAATAACTTAAAAAATTACCATAAAATATATTCATATATTCATCATTTCCAAAAACATTCGTTAACCAATTTGGTTCTTTTAACGGTTAACTTCAAAGTTTAGGGACCAACAACGTAAAATGTCAATATCTTCTGACATTTTAAATGTCAAGCGTAAGAATTGTAACCTCATAAAAAAATCCATCTATAATAAAAAACTGCAAAACAGCAACAAGAAAAAATCTACAAATATCCAGCTAAAAAAAATTTATATAAAAGACTATACACGGATCGATCAATCATCTGAAAACTCGCAGTTGATACCTGCTTTTACTAAAGGCAAGGATTAGTTAGATGTTGCCTTCATAAACTTGCCAATATTACTGTTTTCTCTTTTTTTTAGGTTATATTTCACACTTTTTATAAGCAAAAAAAGATTGAAATTCTGCGTATCCTAACGGTTCTCTTTTTTATTTTCCTATCAACTTCATGTCTCTTGTTTATCTCAATAACAATTCATCATTTTCCTCTCAAAACAAACAAGCGTGTCACTCACTTTTGTAACAGCTCTTTCATTGCGGCGAAGACAATTTTTATGTCGACGAAACTTGCTTTGATTCTGTCAGACATTCAATAAAAGAAAACGATTCGGAGATAACGAACTTACATTCGGTTTTTTCTTTGTTTGGATTGATATCATACGGGTATGATAAATCAAAAATGGAAAAATGCTGTCGCAAGTAAATTAAAATTTTGGTGAAGCAGATATATAGTGGTTTGTGCAACGAGAGTGGATAATATGAGGGCTACATCGCGCCCAAATAAGATGTTTGACAATTATCTCAGTGCAATAAGACATTTCATTCGAGTTGTATAGTAAAAAACTAAAACAAATCTAAAAAATTTAAAAAATAATATATGTTACTAAGATAGAATAGTCATTTTAAAAATAATTAACACAAAGATTTAAAATTAGATCTTTTACTAAATTATAAAATAAAATAAAATAAACTTGAAACAAAAATGGTGAAAATAAAAGTAAAAATCCCTAGGTGTGAGCCAGTGCCGTATTAGTTCAAGCGGTGGGTGGTTTCTATTCGCAAAAGGTGGGAAAGAAATGAAATTTGGTGGCATTGTAGACATGGGTTCCTTGATACTACACCTAAGTTCGCGACCTCGGGGGGTTGCCGCTCGAGCAGTGGAGAGATGAAAACTCTGCGTCGCGACGCTATTCGGGAAATAGCGCCGTTGTGGTAAGTGCTATCGAAAAAAAGTTCAAATAAAATATGTACAGGACAAAATCGTGCACAATTCTGACCTCTACATTTTTTTGTATGCGACCAATAGTTTCTTCACGAAGATCGCTATGAAACTATTATGTAATATTTTTTTTCTAAAAGAGTAATGATTTCTGAGTCCGCAGATGCTCGATTTGATACATTTGGTCGTATATAATAAATAATGTGATGTTTTGAAGCGCGCGCCTACATATTCCGACGTAAACATTTTGTATATATCAGCCTCTACGGTCAATATTTCCTTATTATTGTTGACCTAGGCGCCAAATTTATTCTTTTTGTGCATACATGATACAAGAAGGTATCATTTTTAAATCGTTTCCACACCACCCTTGAGGTAGAGTTGATCGGCGCGTGTTTTTTAACGTGGTATCCCCAAGTGGCTTAATCCACAGGTGATATTTGGGGGTATATTCGTCAAACTCGGTGTTGTATGTTTGGTCCTCATCGTCCTGTAACTGATCGTGAACGTTTTCGGCATCTTCTGCATTGTCGTCGTCTAGTACAATCTGGTCCAGAATGTTTTCGCAGGACATCCCAGCACTGTGTAAACACACAATCGAACATTTCAATCCTATTTTACGAAAACCACAAGCAAATCCACAACCTTTCTTACATCTGCACGAGATGCTCTGAAGTAAAACATCTGGAGCTGATTCCTTTGCCATCCGTACCGCGTCCAGTCCCGTGGTTGTTCTTCGCCATCCGTGATTTTCTGGAGGTATCTGTACTCCCCGCCAGCTCTGTACTTGGCAATAAGTACGCAATGAATGATGACCGTTTTTGTGTATCTTCGTCCTTTTTACCTGCCTGTCCCTAGCCAATATTCGATTTATGTTTAGACGTATGCTCTGTGTACCTATAGGAATGATAAATTGTAATAATATCAGTTTCAGGCAAAAATTCTTTTTATTTCTACATAATAAAAGTTTGAATAAAATTTGTAATTTTGTCAACATCGAACACCTACAAGAGGCGGGTACCGCTTTTTATTTTGATATAGCTAAAATAATAGACGGTATACGCCTCTTTTAGTTATTACATATTGAAATAAAAAAAGCAAATTTTATCCAAAATTTACTATGTAGCACAGAAAAGAATTAATATATTATATACTCGTAAATAATAATATACACGTATGCTATACCACAAAAAGGATATTCATGATAACTAATGCACAAAAGTAAACAATTTGGAACCTAGGTCAACAATAATAAGGAAATATTGAATGTAGATTCTGATAATTACAAAATCTTTATATCGGAGTATGTAGGGGCGTGCTTCAAAACATCATAGCATTTATTATATACGACCAAGTGTATCAAATCGGGCTTCAGCAGGCTCAGAAATCATTACTCTTTTAGAAAAAAAATATTACATAATTGTTTCATAGCGATCTTTGTCTTAATCCGCGCTGAAATTCTAATTCTGTTGAACATTGCAAATCAACCCCCTACTTTGGCGCGTCGTAGAGCGGAAACTATTGGTCGCAGACAAAAAAATGTAGAGGTCAAAATTGTGCACGATTTTGTCCTGTACATATTTTATTTGAACTTTGTTCTGATAGCACTTACCACAACGGCGCGACGCAGAGTTTTCATCCCTCCACCCCTCGAGCGGCAACCCACCGAGGTCGCAAACTTAGGTGTAGTATTAGGAGAGCTATGTCTACCATCTCACCAAATTTCATTTCTTTCCGACCTTTTGCGAATAGACGCCCTTATTTTTTACCCACCGCTTGGACTAAATTTATTTTAATAAAAAATAGATCTTAATTTCGTCGTATGGTCTGGGTCCATGAGAACAAAATACAGTTAGCTATGAGAATAAAAAAAATCATATCATTAATTAAATGTTTTATATTAATATATTTTTATGTTGCATTTAATATTTGTTAGTATTAATTGTTTTATAGAAAAATATAGGCCATAGTATCCTTCTCCTTATAATGGCTATTCAAATACCAACTTTTATGGAATACTGGCTTATACAAATGAATAAGGATTCTCAGTTGCCTACGTTCGATAATTTTGATTGTTGATATGTTTTGGAAAATTAAACCCCTTCTTCATCAGTAAAAACAGTATGATCCAATAAACTTTATGGCTAGTTCCCATCGACAAACCCAAAACAATGATTTTTACAATTCAGCTTTTGAACGAGTTAAACTCCTCAACACTGTCCCTACCTATTTGAGCTGCTAATTTTTTTCCAGTTTATTGGGATAACACCTGCTGCTATTACTGTGAGCCTTCCAGAGCTCCTTCCTTTAAAAATGCAATTTTTATCTCAAAACGTTGAACACGAAAAGTATCATATTATTCTATTTGTAAATCTATAAAACGTTTCTCAAATTGTTGAATGCAATTTTGTATTAAATATAACCAGGTTTCATCAGCATTTTCAGTTTCACTTCAAAATTGGGCCATGAAAATAAAATAATCTTGTTCCGATGTAAAACTTTTTAGCTAAAAAGTCAATTGTTAATGAACTTTTATAAAAGTAATGCTAGTAATGCTAATGCTTCACAAACTCTTAAAGTCAAATCAAATCGTTTTTTGTATGCCATAAATTTGCGATTGGGACATCAATCTCGATCGAATTAGCTTTATCGTAATTTCGTATAATTAAATTCAAAAATAACTATTTGATACCTCCCTATTTGGAGTCACTTGAACTGACTATTAATGATATCTGCTTATAATTACATAATCTCCTATTATTTTTAACTTAACATGCCATTAAAGCTCTTAACAACTATACAATATGATTCAAAATTATCATAGAAAATCAATTTTATATATTGTTAAGATTCTTTGTAGTTTTATAAGCTTATTTTATTCTGCTAATTAGATTATTCTATGCAGCAATAAAATCTGTTTTTACTACTTTACTTCCCTTTCTTTTGTTTTGTTTATTTGAACCTTTATATATTCAAATTACATGAAACTCTGTAAGTGGTAAAATATATTTTAATAGAGAACGATAAATTGGACTTAAATGTAGAGGAATTCCCATGTTTCTGGAAATAACTTACAAAAGGTCGGAAATTTCATTGTTTCCGTAGTTTAAATTGAGCGTGTAAAATGTCTTGTGGTTTTAAAATTATAAATCTTTAATTAAGTTTTTACTTTGCTGTAATATAATATTTTAACTGTAGTATATTTGGTTTTTGATAATTTATTTCACTTTATAATACATTGACTCCATAATTATCCATTTAGGTGTGCCTGATGATTTAGCAAGTTACATCATCGGTGGTGTAGCAGTCTCACGCGCTTATATTCATTTATAGATAAGTTTCTGGTCAGATACAGACGGGCTTCTAATCCAAGCCTAGACTATGTGGATTTTTAATTAAATTGCATGGTTCGGTATAGGATTTGATGTGTGCCGTATTAATAGAAATTCAATTTCTGTTGACATGCAGATTATAAAATCACCATGCATTACCGTCTCGATGATGGTGGGTGAGGTTATTCGGGTTTTCCTCACCTGTAAGTCAAATGGAACCATCAATCATCTTTAAGTCGCCCCGAAGCGCCACGGCAAATAATAATAATAGCCGTCCCTTTCCCCGCACAAGCTCAGCTTTTGGGGTTAAAATTCACTCGTAAGGGGGTGAATTAGGGAGAGTATTATTATTTTAACAAGGAAATATGACGAGATATACATATATAACTCAATTAAAGTATGTAACACGTAAACTGTTTTTTCAAGTGATTGTATATTGTTAAATCATGACTGTTACGTACAAAACAATGATGGTGAACAGGTTTGTATATCTATAAGTGGCCATGTTACTGTGACAGTATCTCGAATAATTCAACAGACTCACTGTCTCCCCTTTACACACTGTTTACGTAGGAGCAAGGCGGAAATTTTTGTAGCCCTCTTGCTTATAAAAATACGTGAATTAAAGGCGCTTTTGGGATCTTTAAAATTATTCATCCCATCATAAATAAATGGTTTTGCTAAGATGTATAAGGTATATTTTAATTGGAAGAAACAAAAAGACATGTATATAAAATATAAAAGTCATAATATCATGATGATCAATCACAGGGCAACAAAAAAATATTTTTTTTGGTGCCTGAGATTTTAGAGCTGATTTTAACTATATTTGGGACGCTAAATCTGTACATGCAATCCGTTTTTCTCTATCAGCTTTACTTTTTTAGAGGGCGGGGTTCTCTCCTATATTCCTAGTTAGCACTCTGTTTATCATATTATTAACCTGATGTAAAGCCGTTGTTTACAGCTGATTATTTAATTACCCTGTAGTAAAATTAAAATTTGTGGGAATCACAACAATTAAATTAAGTTACACTATATTCATTTCACTATCTTACTAGTCACTTATTTAGTTCTTTATACAATGCCAATATTATAAATTATATTAACAAAATATTTTTGTTGCAGTGACCAAATTCATTCGCATTGGAATCGCTGATAAAAATGACAATCCTCCTTATTTCGATAAGGCCCTGTACGAAGCGGAAGTCGACGAAAATGAAGATATACAGCACACCGTTCTCACTGTCACCGCCAAAGATCACGATGAATGTAAGTAGAGAACTTTTTTATTTTGTAGAAATGCTTTCAACAGCCAACAACCATTGGTGGAGCGCAACATTTTATAGACCAAATATATTTTAATCTATAAATATTTACTCGTATGTCGCCAAAATGTATTTATTGTTTTACTAATAATTGAAGTCAGTTAATTCTATAGTTTTGTATTAATTATTTATTACTTTTCGAAAAAATTTGTTTATATATAAATTTAAAAATCATTGCCAATTGATATATTTATTTTTAAATACATTAAAAAAAGAATTTTCAAAATATTAACTTATAGTGCAATCCTTAAGTATTTTTTTTTAAACTAATTTACTAGACAGATGTAACCTCGACTTCTACCGTCTGGCAACTTGATGTCAGAAATTGCCATGAATTATTATTATTTCTTTATTAATCTATCAAATTTACAATTTTTAGTTTTCATAATAAATTATATACTGCTGTTCAAAAATATCAGAAATTCAGACATAAGAGCTTTTTATGAATACCTATATGTTAAAAGTTATTTTTTCATGAACATTATTCTTCTTTCATCAGAAAGCGATAAAGAGAAAAATCGGTTTAACCACGCACTTCCTATGAGAAGCATAAGATATTGCGGTCCTCCGCACTCTGCAACGTATTATTTTATTTCTCTCTATTCAATAGCATTGTATTTCTATACCGTTCTCCTGAAGTCAGGATTGAAAACTTAACATATTGTATAGGTATTTCTTATGACAGCAGAGAATTCCCAAAATTATAATTTTAAACAGTAGTATATATTTTTGTTTTACAAAATAATTTATTATTATTATAATTATTATTCGTTAAGATGCGAAAGGATATTCAAATTATAGAATTAGGTCATTTGTATAATAGTTTTTGTAACGTGTCTGCATGCTACGTAGAAATCAACTGGTCCATTTAAGATGCATTGGTATATACTAGAGCTCGATTTTTTTGTAAAGAGCACATTTCGTCATAGCTATGCCACAGTTCTCGCAGTACGTCATAACTTTGTGGAGCTTTAGTTGATGTCGCTGCGCTGAAATCTGCTGCGGTAGAGGTACCTGATATCTTAGCAGTGGCGTGTGTACATTAATAAAATATTTTAATTTGAACATATTAATAAGTTATTGTTAAATTTTAACTATTCGTTAGTTAAATTGCTGATGAACTATAAATTAATAAAACAACTAAAAGTTTAAATAAATAATATATTTTAATTTAATTTGTATAATTTTAAACATTTTCTTCATCATCTTCCAAGTCGGAAATATCGGATTCCCACTCATCGGATGACCTCGTGTTTACACTAAATATGAGGGAATCTGTAAATTCATTCATAAGGTGTTCTCTTTGAATATATGCATCCTCATATTTCGCGGAATGGACCACCACGTTTGCCTATTCCTCCGGCGTTATGCTTCGGAATTTTTCTCTTGCCAACTTTTCAACATTATCCAACTGTACTTCTTTTTGTATATTCTCTTTGTGAAAATGAAGTACTAACTCCACTTTCTACTTTACCAGGCATCTTTTCAATTCTAGAAATCCCTGTAGCAGCTAAAATTCTCTCTCTGTATTTGTGTAATGGTATTTGAATACCGTGTTCAGCCTCGTTTTTCATAAAATTTATGAGGCGTGAGATTATTTCTTTCGTTTGACTTTGAAGAATTTTGCCCTTTTTGCCTAATAATTTTTTCTGTTCCATTTCGAGCGAGCTAAAAACAGATATTTGTAGGAAATTTGTTTTAAATAATATTAAACTTATTTTTCTATTCATCAAGAGCAAACCGAACCTCCAGCCAAGGAAAATTTTTGAAATAGTAATACTAATTAAAGTTACTTAAGAGCTAGTGCTTCGGTAATTAAGTAAAATTCGTAGGTCTTATATATTTTATCACCAAGTTCTTAATATTTAAGGTACCTATTTACGTGATATTTTTTTTTTGTTGCTATATAGTAACTTAAACTACAGTTCTGTAGTGTGAAATCAACAAAAAAGTATTACCACAACGCAGAAAAAAAATAAAAAATTTTTAGAGTATGATCACTCTTTTAAGGATTCTGCTTTTATTTTTTATTCGATTAGAATTTTCTATTAAGAATACTCTAGACAAATCTTTCATTTACAATTTGTATTGAAAAAATATTTATTTTCGTTTCAGTTTTTTCATCAAGAAATAATAATATGTTCCTTAAAACAGTGATCATACTCAGACTATTTAATTTTTTTGCTTTGTGGTAATACTTTTTTGTTAATTTCATACTACAGAACTGTAGTTTAAGTTACTATATAGCAACAAAAAAAATATCACGTACAATTACCTTAAATATTAAGAACTTAGTGATAAAACCTACGAATTTTAGGCAAAAAATATGGTTTACAAAAAATCTGGTTTTAAAAGGTATTTAAAATATTTCAGGATGTTCGGTTTCTTCTGAGATTAATATTTATAGTTTCGTAAATGTATTTACCAAAATATACACAAAATTAATTAGGAATTCAAAAAATATAACAAATTAAAGTTTATATACACACAAATCGAAACACAAAAACTCAGGATACTTAAAAATCGAAGCACAAAACTCAAGAGACTCAAAATAGCTAAATAAATGCAACAAGTACAAATAAGTAACACTACGCTGCTGAATTCAACTTGTATGAGCGGTGATGAGCGACAAGCGGATTCGATCACGTTTAAATCTGTCTGACCACGCCTACAAACTCAAATTGGTTTCTGCACATTATGACGAAGTGTGCTCTTTACAAAAAAATCGAGCTCTACCGATGCTGACTTTTCAACCCAAGATTAACTACATATAAAAATTTAGTAATTGTATATTAATACTTTCTAACCATATTTTATCGAAAGTAAACTACTTCTAGAAAGACTGAAGTGCAGATTTTGGTTTTTCTTTACTGTTTTTTCTATGTGTCCTTCTTAGAAACATAATATCAGTGAAAGAAATAACAAAAATTAAGTGTAAATTATTTATAAAGTGGAGACGTCCTTGGGAAGTATTTTTGATATTTCTTGTAACGCTACTGTATTTGGAAATGAAATAAAAAACACGCGGTATATACTCAGTAAAATTTCAACAACAAGTAGATACAGAAATTTAAACAAACTATACCTGTCCTTGCCCAAAATCAGTTTTTCATAACATTAATATTGTTGAAGGTAATAAAGATTCCAAAACTCAAATCTGACCAATTTAAAAATAAAAATAAAGAAAAATGAGTAAAAAATTCACAAACCGTGTCACAGTGCATTGAATTATATAAAAATAAAGATAGAAGAGTTAGAAAATTATTTTCAAATGTCTATCGTTGATTTTGCTTACTAAGAAGAACATTATTCTTAGACCAGTTTCGTCCTTATTAGGACTCATCAGCAAGCAATAGGCATTCTCGATTGCAGTCTCTAATGGAATCGGCTGATGCGTTAAACCTCCTTGCCATCATTGCCGGTGGTTACATGAGGATGAAAGTCACAAAGTAACGTCATCCACACTTAGTAACCAAAATAGAAGCTCGCTGTGGTACCCAGTTCATAGGACAAGTCGGAATAATAACCAATCTGGCAATAATCAAAGGAAATAAATATTCCTAAACTCAAATGTGTCCAATTTAAAAGTAAAACTAAAGAAAAATGAGAAAAACTCAGACATTCTTTGGTTTTTTTTTTTTTTTCATTTATTTATATTAATAAATATTGTCAAGCTATGATAAAAATATGATTGTTTAATGGCTCTATATTTTATGCTCTTATTTATCACTTTGATAATCAGTATGAATTATATGGATGTTACCCGGCACACCCTTAATTTTAAAAATAATTACATATTGTTATTCTTTATTCTCTGGCGGTAAAATATGAGTATGTTTTGTACTGTTACCACTAATAAGTATGTTTTGTCAGTTTATATATTAAGTCCATTAAACCTGCTCTAACTGTAATCTATAGTTTTTTTTATAAAAATTAATTTTCAACTGTTTTTTGGTATATTTTAAATAATATATTTTATATTAAAAATATTAAATTGTACCACCGTTCCGCCACTGGCAGCAACAGCAAATATAAAAGTTCTGTCGTAGGATAGAGAATATTGGAAGAAATATGAAAAATATACTCTACATATTTGTATTTTTGATTGCGAGAAAATGAAAAAGTATGAACATTTCCGACGTTATGAAACCAATTTGAATTTCATAATTTTTTATATTTTTTATTGCTCCATATACAGGGTAATATTAAATAGATTAATATTCAGATTCTCCTAAAATGTGTAAAAATATTATTTTGATAAAATTCCAATTATTGAAGGAATAATTAAAATATTAAATCAGGCACACATTACGATCATGTACAAGCAGTAGGTTACTTGCACTTTTTATCTTGATACACATAACTTACATTTAGGTGTAAGATAAAGTGTTTATTAGGTTTACCATTTCATATACATTTTTCAAATTAAAATAATACCGTGATCGCATACCATAATCTCAGAATACTTTAACTTCTAACATATCAAAACGAGGTAAAAAAACTACTCTACTCCAAATCTCACACAGTATTTCCAGAACATTTTTTGTTAGGAACTAGATTTGTGTAAGAAAGTTATAAAAATACATTATATTTTTACACAGTGATTAGAAATAAATGAGTAACTAACGTCTATACTATGCAGCGACTTTTCTGATGGCTGTCGAAGCAAACTTTATAGAGTATACTGAGTTTCATCCACTCTCGCTAGAAGAACGGTATAGAATAAGCGATAGAGGTAGAACAATGCGTGCCAGCCCACTAGTGGTAGAGGTGTATCCATCTGACCAATCACGGAAGGCAGGCAGCTTTATTTTCCTCACGTGGAAATATAATTAAGTATCTCATCATTATTACTAATGATATATGGGTAAACATATTGTATATGGATTGGAATGGAGGTAAAGGCTACTGCTCATTCACTGTACGGTCGGGCGATAAGGTACG